GGATGATCAGGTGAATGGATGGATAATGGAAGGATGGATGGTGGCTAAATGAATGGATGATAAAGGAATGAATGAATGATAGATGGACGAATGGATGGATGGATGAATGGAAGGATGAACAGGTGAATGGATGGAAGGATGGAGGGATGCATGATAAAAGGATGGATAATAAAAGGATGGATGATGACTGAATGGATAGACGAATGGACAAGTGAATGGATGGAAGATGGTTGGATGGATAATGGAAAGATGGAAGGATGGACGGACGGAAGGCTAGATGGAAGGATGGATGGATGGACGAAGAGGTGAATGGATGGACGAAGAGGTGAACAGAAGCATGATGGATGGATGGATGGATAGAAGGATGAACAGTTGGATGGATGATGGAAAGATAGACGGAAGGATGGATGGATGGACAGGTGAATGAATGGATGATAAAAGGATGGATGGATGGATGCGTGGAAAGATGAACAGATGAATGGATGATGTAAGGATGGATGGATGGAAGACCCACAGGTGTATGGGAAGATGAAGGAAGAATGGATAGATGGATGGAGGATGGATTGATGGAGAGAAGGATGAGCAGGTAAACAGATAGATGATGGAAGGATGAATGGATGGGTGGATGGACAGGTGAATGGATGGATGGACGGGTGGATAGATGGATGATAAAAGGATGGATGGATGGAAGGATGAACAGGTAAATAGATGATGGGAGGATGAATGGACAGAGAGTGAACAGCACAGGGGTCCTCCTGCATCCCTTGCCACTCACCTGGATGTACAGGTCCACCAGCTCGCTCTGCCGCAGGATGTAATAGATCCTCCCTGCTTGCAGCCAGGCATGTGCCTCCTTCTCTTTCCTCTGGAGGTCAATGAAAATCTCCAGACTTCGTTTGGTGTAGTCCAGAGAGGATTTGTAGGCCCTGGAATCACTGGAATCAGACACAGGTGTCAGAACAAGGGCTCTCATCCTCCTGGAACCAGTCTGCCTCCTCCCGTGGGTCTGGTGACAGATGAATCTGGCATGTGGGGACTGGGAACGGCCCTCTTGTGTGTGCAGTGTTCTGCCCTTGCCAGGCAGCTGGGAGAGCCAGGGTGAACACACACAGCATGGAAAAGATGAAGGACATCCTTCTGAGGGAATCGAGCATCATGCTGCCCTGTGGCAGGAGGAGTGTGCTAGTCCATCTCCCCTGCCTCCCAGACATGGCCTGTGTCTTCTCCAGATGCACCAGGAGCCGTTAGTGTTCAGAGGCTATCTAGGCCGATGGTTCTCAAGGTGTGCAGGCATCACAGTCACCCGGAGGCCTGTCCTTATAGCTTGCTGGCCCTGCCCCCAGAGCTTCTGGCTCCACAGGCCTGGGGCAGGCCCTAGAACTCCCACTTGCCACAAACTCCTAGGTGACATGGATGCTGCTCTACTGGTCCAGGGACTACACTTTGAGAAACATGGCTCTAGCACACTGGCCCATTTTCCTTCTGCGAACCTGAGGCCAAGACTGGAGCCAGTCTTCCAGGTCCCCATGGAATCTGGCTCCTTCCCTGTTCTCTCAGTAAGTCCGACACTCGAGGGGGTGTGACTGCAGCAATGTCACCAGGCCCTGTGGGTGGGGTGGCCAGGGCCATGGTTACCCCACCAGGTCAGGATGCTTGGGGGAAGCTGAGTAGGCCACATATGGGACGTGAGACCTTGAAACTCTGCCCCAGGGAAGCAGGTGACACAACTGGCTCTGTCTTCTGTGGGAGAGAAGCCACAGGTGGCTGCTGTGGTCACATTTAAGGGGACAGACGAAGGCCAGGAGTGAAGACTCGGGGCAGGCATAGGTCAGATGACAAAAGCCACCATAGTAGGAAGAACAGCCCAGAGTGCACGTACTGCCTCTGCTGGGGTTGAGATGACCTTTG